TTAAAAAAAACTTAAATATGTTATTCTGCTAAAATGATATCAATTGAATTCTGTAAGTGATTAGGTATACAAATTAATTGAGGCCATTGCAGTGACGGTAGGTATCTTTTACATAATACAGTAGTATACAGGACTGATACTTTTAATAATGTTTTTTAAATCGACGTTAGCCGTTTAATTAACATTAGTTTTTATTTATACATACAAATCATGAAATGGTGACTAGATGAAACTTATCGAAGTCTATTTGTCTCTTTATCTATTAACGCGTTAAGTTCTCCTGTAAAACTGACTGGAGCAATTGTAGGAGGACACATTACATGCGTACGAAGTCGTCTCTATTTCAATCACAATATTTGAAACATCAACCAATAGAAATATTATAATAGCGAACACATTAATAATTAGGTACCTATCTAACATTTTTTAATTTGTACCTTAGTCTATCTTAAATAAAACATACACTTGGGCAGGTATCTATTGTAATATAAATCATCGGAAACCTCCCAACGACGCTAAATTAATTAGAAAATACCAACGGCGATAATCCACAAAAGGTGTTGCTGTCGCGTTCAAAGTTCTAATTTCAAAACAAATCCCAGCAAGTACGTGACTCAGATTATGTTCTAAACGATACAATCGAGCTGTACAGCAGCGGTCACTTGCGTAATAGAAATTAGAACAACCACCAGTAACCCGTTTCTCTAAAGTATCGGTTTCAATAATAGCGAAACTGGTACTTGTACGGGATATAAGTCTCATTTTCATACGTGATCCACAAATTTTTAAATAAGAACATATATCAATGACAATGTTTTTATTTTTTACAAGCTTTTAGTTAACTTGCTACTAAGGCAACACAATGACATGCTAAAAACGTCACGATCAAATCATAAATTCGAAATTTTAAATATCTTCCTAGTTCCAGTTGTCCTAAAGTTTGGAATACGTACCTACCTAATATCTAATTAGACAAGTTACGTTAGTCTCGACTGGAGCTAGAGCTGCTCATCATAGATACGATAACAAGGAAACCATAACCATGTCAAATTTAAAGTCAATGAGTTCGACTTGCGTAGGTTGCTACTTGTTAAATATTACTCTTTTGTATGGGATTAAAAAAAAATAACAATATAAAAAAAATATTTTTTATACAATAATAATAACAAAAAGTAAGAACGTACCTTCATGTAAAGCGAACGGAGAATCCATTTTTCTCAGTCTAAAATATATTCTGATGTCATGCAACCAGCTAGCTATTTTTATATGCATTGTATTTTAGCTCTATTTCACATAAGGATATACCTACTCCGAGAATCTACGAAAAGTATCATCGCATTTCAAGTCATAACACGAAACAATAATACTCTTGATCCTTAATAAGGAAAACTGATGGTGATAACATTTTATGAGTTTTTGTTTCATTTACATATGCGCTGTAGTAATGACTACGTGTACAAGTATTTAAAACATTATGAAAATACAGCAAGTTCCAGATGAATAAAGCACATTTTTTATTAATATCGTTAAATGCCGATCTAAAGGGAGTGAAAGTATATAGGGAAAGTAAGGCTGGTCTTCCAGGAATGCAGTTGAAACCGGTTCTAATTAGATACTTATAGTAACATCCTCTAAAATTGGAATTCCAAACAAGCTGACGGTGCACCTAATGTCCCTTTCCTTTGCTTCCTAATGACCTAACCCAGAAATTATTTTCGTTGGCAGAGGAGTTATCGTTACGAGATAGATTGGATAAAAACATTCATACAAATTGTTGCATTTGGTCCTCCAAAACTCCTATTTCGGTATACAGGTCTACATACATATATATATTTCTCTGTTAGATACAATATGAAGAATCTCTACTATCTCATTCATTTACCGTTATTATTAGTTGGTAATCTTCTTAATTCACAGTCATGGAACTGAGTCAAATCAGATGAATTGTGGTTTCCTACTACTATAATACTTTTACTAATAATAGGTAAGTATTAAAAAATAGTTGTTCAAACAAATAAAATAGACCGACCGATGGCGTCCTGAAAAGGTATTTTATAATAGTATACTAACATGAAAACTTGAAAACCCTTTTCAGGACATCGCGATTGGGTGAACAACAGTATCATTGCATCCTGGACACTGTTATATTATTGAATATTGTAAAATTTTATTCATAGTGCAGATATTGATGTACCTTCCGTTTATAATCCTGGGCGATGCACTCGAATGATAATAATTATCGATGTATATGTATATCGAACTAGTAATTGTATGACAACAATTCACATCCTAAATAAAAAAAGGTTCATTGGTCTCTAATCACGAGCAGATATGATTGATTATGTGTATTAAAAGAACGACAGATAAATAATGACATGATATTGTTAATAAAAATTCAATTTTCAGATAAATAATTAAAAATAAAACACTTGAATTCAAATTCCAATAATTGATATTTAATTGATACTCTATACATGCTATTCTGGTTTATGTTAGCATTTATTTATAATAGTTTATTTCACAGGTACATACCTAATCATTTATTTATAGTAACTAAACAAAACTTAAATTATTAATATACGATTGTACCTACGATTTTTTCTGTTAACATCTTTCTTAATGGATTTTACTTCTGTGTGTGTGTATAGGAAGCAATCATTAGCGGTTGTCATTATCTAGTATTCGTTTTAACATCAGGATAAAATATAGGTAATTCTGAAATTGAGAAGAAAATTTCTCTAAAATTGATAGCTAATGGAAATCTATTAACTACTTGCCACGAAAATAAAATTGAGTAACGAAATAAACGACTACAATAATTAAGTGTCACAAAAACATATTATACATATGTAACTGCATTCTTAAAATAACAGCTAGAGAAAAACACGTTTAACCACAGCCCACTAATCTTAATAAATCCGGGACTCAACAGTTCAGTGAACTAACAAAAATGATGTAGTTTCGGGTCTAACTACATAGTCCAATTACTGATTACAAGTAACTCATCCACAATAATACGAAAGTACCGTTCACATTGAAGATATTATGGGTCATCAACATATTCAATAGCATTGATATTTTTTAACGTCACTTTCGATGTGTAAACGGGCAATTAGCTTACTGTACCCGCAGCTTTGAATTCGCTTATCTTATTTGTATTTTAAATTTATTCTCGCTGGGTTACATTTAATAGATACCTATAGTTAGCTAGTTATCTGTACATCTCGGTAATAGTATACGAATGTCATTATTTTAAGTGAAGCCTCTATATAGTAGTTAGTTGTAAAAGGTATACAAAACTGAAAGGCAGATAGAATTCTCATAAAACCAAACCGTTTTTAACAAGTACTGCAAATCTGAAAATATATTTTAAACTTTTCATAGGTATTAAATAAATCATATCACAGCGTTGTTTTACAAAAGGTATCTTTCCATTTTCAGTTTTCTTTGGGAAAATTCTTCAGTTTCATACATTATTCTGTTATTATTATTTTTTTAGTTCATATTTGATAACTAACGCATATCTAAAAAAAAGAAGCAAAAATATTTTGTTTGTTATTGAAATTGTGAAGGTCATAACCATAAAATTTCAATGTAGAGAGTGACTCAACCAGTTAACAGAAATAATAAATATGAGTTATTTGTCTTCTTTAAAAACATGAAATTTAAACTGTCGGCTCGAAAATATGCGAAAACTCAAACAGCCACTCACTGCCCCGAACAAAGCGGATCTTGTACTACCTACTGGGTGCTATACAACTAACAAACGTAAGTACTTAAAAGATTTATTTAAAATAATTATATTTTAAATAAATCTTTTATTCTCTTTACAACTAGCTGTGACTACGGATTCACCCACGTTATATTTCAATATATACATTACAATAAAAAAATATAGGCCATATGTTATTCTGTTCGGTAGGTTTGGCGTGAAAGAGTAACAAACATATACTCACTGACAAATTTTCTTGTTTATAATATTATTACGATTAAGATTTAAATAGAAAACACGCCAATACAAATAATCATGTAATATATTATGTATGCCTTTTACGAAATTTCAAAACTGCGTGCTACGAAAAATGAGATAGTATGTTAAACCGCGGTTATACCTATACTGCGGTTGTCTTGTCAAGCATTTAAAAAATGGTAAACTTTCCGTTGATGATCGGTACTGTTTTATTACAAGTAATATTCTCTTATCTGTGATTTCTAGTACGTAGTTGCTATTATATCTATGTCTAAATAGATATTAGTACAGAATAAATTTAATTATCCATATTTTATTATATAAGTTATTAATTATTATAAAAGTTTTATGTTTTTTTATTAATATACTATTAATAAAAAAACATAATACTTTTATATCATTCACATGTTTCGAGAATCAAAGCTGCAATATAATAGCTAGTCTACATAATGAGGCCATACAACCGTTAATGAATGTGAATATACACTATAGAATACCTATACCGGTAGGTAATAGAGTATTGGAGGTAAATATAAATTTTACCACAGGTAAACTTCGTACAAAGTCGATTGCGTCCCTCTAACTTTTTCAGGTGACAAGCAGCATCCTTTGTAGGCTGTGTTTCGGTTATAAGGTCAGATAATGGAAATCATAAAAGGAATCATCATCAGAAACGGAAGCATAACATTTTGTTATATCCCTCATTCATTGTCAATCCACCGGAATGGCAATGAATGAGGGGTATTAAACCACATAAGCGGTTGTAGCCACTTGTCATCAAGTGGGCCATCAGCATGTTTGCTATTACATAAAGAAAATCTAATCTGTATAGTGTATATAAGCTCTAACTATTAAATCAATTTTTAACAATAAGTAAACTGCTTGACGGTTAAAATAGGCCAAACAAAGGCACCGACGCAGACGACTTTGTACAAAATCTACCTCATTAAAGCACAGGGATGCATATTACATGCTTAGTAAACTATTAGATATATTTTTAAAATAGGTAAACTAAGGAAACGTGACTGACCTTTTGAACAACTAGAGGTGTGCCGAAGTCCTTCCCTCCCTGCAGCCGGAAGCCCAGAGGCTGCTGGTCTGATTTGTTGAGATGCACAGTGATTAACTGTGCCATCTGTCGACAATCGTATGCAACAATCAATAAAAAGTAACATCAATTAACTATATTTTATTACAAATATGAATAAAACATTGGTCATCATATTATTCCTATTTCCTAATAGTGTAAGGTCCTATCTCGTAAGTATTACCAAGCCGACTGTACATTGTCAATATGTAAGAATTTGTATTTTATTTTTTATGAATAGGGTATTACTGGAGAAAGAAATAAGGAGAGCAAAGTCAGGTCAGTTAGGTCATCGTAGCGATATAACCAGTTTACCACGATGATTTATTTCTACATTGCTCGATAGTGGCCATTACTATCAATCCCACTCTCTACATTTTATTATTATATATATATTATTTAGGTAAAATAGTCTTTGTATCTGTAGCCAAACTAACTTATTCTATTTCTCTTAAAATTAAAATAGTCAGGGTCAAACACCTACGCTAGTAAAGATGGTAAAACCCGTTTCGGTTCCCTAAAGAATGAAAGTGGAAAGTGGGTCCAAATAAAAGCACGATTAAGTATTGCGCCAGAGCATTAAGCCTGGCATTTGATCGACCCAATTGAAGATTTATTTTCTCTCGAGCTTGCCTCGTTGCGCTGACCGTAGGTACACCCGTATTCCACTCGGTGAGTAGTACTCAGACGTCGTGCCATCTACCTATTTTATCATAGATCAAGATCTAAGTGCGAATCGAAAGACATTAGTGAAAGGAGGCTGAGAGTAAAACTTTCGTTTATTTATACAAGGAATAAACAATAATCAAATTACTTATGGATTTTCATAGTCCCGATTCTATTTAGAGATAACATAAATTTGATCAGCTAAAAAATTCACAGATAATATCTTTTGATTTTAACAATAGGTACAATCTTTGCTCTTTCATGAGTAATCGGAAAATAACGGTACCGCCTACAGATTGTCCAGTCTCGAGTTCTCCATAAATTATAGATAGGTGTTAATTGAGCATTTATGTAGTTGTCGATTATTATCTATGCGTGTCTGTACTATTAAAATGTTACAGAATATAAATGTTATACAGTATATTTTTATCAATAATATAAATCATGTTTACTGCTGCTGAAGAGTCCTTGGACCTGAGCCGCTGGACGACACGACACATATTGAAATATATTTCACAATCCCAACGACATCATATATGTAATAATTATGAAAATAGTTACGTACATAAAAAAAATAACTGAGATTTTTTTTTTACTCTCAATAAGGATTGCATATAGAAATTCTGCCGGGATACTCCCATTTTCGATTTTACAATAATAGTGTCGCTTCAAGGATAATTAGTTCGTCGTGATGTGTTTTTTAGTGAACGAAATTTTCACACTATACCTACCTACAAGGAATATCTAAATATTGTTTCCTCGTATATATTTAGTAGCTCTACTACTAATAAATATATATATATGTAAATTGCATTAAAAAAAGGAAACATTTAGAGTTCGTACATAAAACATAACAGGATAAGTAATAAAATTAACCAAAGTGACACTTAGTAACAAAAAAATAGATATAAAACGTTTTCCCACAACTATTATGTGTAGAATAGAAAATAGATATAGGTTTACTTTAAATCGTAATACAGTATCTGCGTCATGAGTACCGCAAACCATAGCATCAATCAAGAGGTCACGGCACTCTTCAGCTGACACTATACTACATCAATTCAATTCAAAACAAAATGTCCAGTAACGAACGTAATGAATAGTTTCAATATTTTGTCAAGAATCCGTTTGTTCCTTTTGTTCAAGTAATAACCACATTAGGTAATGAGGTATTGGTAGGTAACAATTACAAGTTACAACAAATTTGTCTCCATAACCCATAAATTAATCTGTTAGGTATAGAAAATAATGCTGATGTTCTTGCTTGTGCTTGCATACATATTTTGATCTACCTGACCTTGACTAAATTTAAATTTGGAACTGTATGAAGATAGTAGCAATAAAAAATGCACGTAAACATATGTAACGTTCATGAGCATAATAATCATACGAGTTTAAATTCATAAGTAGTAATACTTGTATTAAATAGATACTTTTTATACCCATATTGCTTGCTTGATTATCTGGCGAAATCTGGTAAACTTTAGCTTATAATGTAACTATAGTGATAAATATTATACACTATATTATTTATAATATATATAATAGTTGCCGCCTATAAGATCTTTTAGGCTACACAATGACAGAATAAAGGGTTTTTTTATGGTTGACTATGGAATAGTTCATCCGGCTGAGTTGACGGTATACGCTGACGGGGAACTAGTAATGGATAATTATTAATTAGTACATCGGGTGAGTCAGCCTATCGTGCTGAATTCACCAGGAATTATAATAATAAAGGACATTTATTCAGCAGTCACTGTGCCCGAGACTTCATCCGCGTGGATATTAAGAAAAACATTATTATTTCTTTATTTGGGTCAAGCTTAAATAAAGATATAATAGTAAATTTTTTTACCCGAAATAGTCAAAGAAAAAGTTTCATCGTTCTAGCTTCAAAAATGACAAATTTCCATACAACTTTTCATCCCCTATTTCATTGTATAACTAAACATATTATATACATAACTAAATATATTACCCTTGAGGGGCAAGGGTAATATATTTAGTTTGATTGTCAACATTACAGAGTATAAAATAAAGTCGCTGTCTCTGTCTGTCCGTCCCTATGTATGCTTAAATCTTAACCGCGGAACGGATTTTGAAGCGGTTTTTTTAATAGATAGAGTGATTCAAGAGGAAGGTTTATTTGTTATATGTATAATACATGTACCTGTGCGAAGCCCAGGCGAGTAGCTAGTTTACTTATATTTGATCAACAGCATAAAAAATAAGTTTCAAGCTTCTAGCTTTAAAACTGTCGATACTTCCGTACAACCTTTCATCTCCCCTTTTTAATGCGAAAATGCGTTAGCATTAAAAGGTAACCTATGTCTTTTCTCTGGTTCTGGACTATCTATATACCAAATTTCATTTAAATTGTTTTAGTAGTTTTGACGTGTGAGCGAGACTGACAGACAGACAGAGCTACTTTCTATTCCTTTATAATATTAATAAGGAAGTAATGATTACATCGGTAGGGTTTACAATAAATTTTTGTAGTATCGTAATTAGTCACGAAGATTTTCAAAGGATATCGCGTGGAGGTCCACGTACTGCATAATATTGGTAGCAACGGAGACATTAGTCCGTATAACGTGGTATTACTACAGATGCTAGTTTAAAATCACCCTAGTTTGGAACTTTAGACTCATTGTGATTTATCTCTATAATTGCTTAACTAATATGCTTACACATAATTAGGGTTTCGTTGTTAAATTAAATCATTAGATAAATTAATGTTATACCTACATATAAGAATTCTTTTCAAGAGAAAAAAATAATTTTATATAATATTCTATAAATGAATATAATTGTTATTTCGAAAAATATATCTAAGTCTTTTATAGCGTGTGTGAATCTGTATATCATCATCATTACATAGTATAAAACAAAGTAGCTGTCGCTGTCTGTCCTTATGTATGCTTAAATCTTTAAAACTACGCAACGGATTTTGAAGCGGTTTTTTAAATAGATATAGTGACTCTGAAGGAAGGTTTAAATATATAATACATGTACACCCGGGCGAAGCCGGGGCGAGTAGCTAGTAAATAAATAAAGCAAAAAATTACGAATACATACACGTACATATATATACCAAACTTAATATTGTTCCCCACATTGACCCATGTCTGGAATTCATAAAACCATCATAACGCCTTTGTTCGAGATTAAAACTCATTTACATACCTACGCCTTATCTTAAGAATGTTACACACTAAAAGTATTAAGTAGTTACTTATGTAGTTTCGTTAAGACAATAATCAGATAGTGCGCAGTTGTGTTATTAGTTGCTAGTTCTTGAAGATTCACTGGCCTGGACTACTAGAGAACTAAATAAATAGCTCAGAGCAAAGCATATCAGCCTCTCTAATTACAGTATATTATTATTATTTGATTTATAAAAAAAGCAGACAAACTCACGAAGAAAATTTAGTTACCAATTAACGTACCTACTTAATTTACTAACTGATAACATCACAACGCACCAAGTCTTGTCACCAATGTAACGTTCATAAGCAATACAACATAAATAAAGGACCCACCCATTAGATTGCGTAGTCGACGTTGAGAGTGACCTCGTAGCAACTACCAATGTCCAACGAAAATAATAGTAAAAAAAAGTATAGTAAACACGATGAGTCGGCTAGCCCTCTGTCAGGTCTATCTAAAATCAGTATCGTATTTTACAATCGATGAATCAATGTTGAACAATAGTTTTTAACGACGATGCGATGCATTACTCAACTCAACATACGATTTCTTCGAGGTGATAGTTCCTTGAAACGACACCTAAATACGTATCTATTATGTAAATGTGTGTAGTGTTTCTTCAAATAACCATTCGATTTCATCGTCATAAGTTAGTCATATGTTAATCGATGACGTCACTCATGACTAACCACAATAAACTGCGGTCCACTGCCGGTCTTGGGCCTTCTCGGCATTTAGGCGAGATTGAAATTCCTTTGTATGATGATCGGGTCATATCACTCGTAAGATCAAAATTGGAACACAATTTCTTAAGCAAATGTAAGGAATATTCAATAAAAAATGAACCAACATTGAGTATTAATTGTAAATTACTTGTATACACTATACAAATAATTTACAATTAAATTCCTTGATCGTTATATAAATTAGTTTGCTAGCCTAAAATACATTTAAATTAAGCCTAAAAGCTAGTATCACTGTGAGAATAGAGAAAGTAAACCTCTTAAGAGCTAATTAATCATTTTTGTTGTCTCACCAATATCTAGAACCAGTTTTTAAAACATTTGATATATTGGCAATTAGTGGTCGAGTAATGCTTGAATGAACTATTTGTATACAAAATAATTTATTAATGACAACGACTTTATTCTTAATTTAAATTATCAGAT